ATATATATATGCACGTACAGTATATAAATGTAGGTAAGTTGGTGGGTATATATGTACCGGTATTTGTATGTGTTTTCGAGTGCATATAGGTGTGTGTGTTTGGGTGCGTGTGTGTGAGAGAGAGAGAATGTGCTTTGTTGTGTATGCACATGTACGTATGTATGTATATGTGTGCATGTGTATATATAAATGTGTGTATGTTTGTATGTACTTGTGTATAATAGGTGTGTGAAGGCATGTATGTTAAGTATACTGTATGTACCGGTATATCAGTGACTGTATAGGTACAAATACAAGTATTTTGTCTTTATTTCTTTTGTTTAATCTTTTAACCTAATCAATTCCTCATTTGCCTTCTCTCATTAACATATTCTATTCTGATGTAGAATATACAAATTGTTTAGTTTATTGTTTTCTTTTCTTTGAAACTTGTAGGCCTTAAGCAAACGTAATATCAGTAACTGCTCTTCAGATGCAGCTCTTTAGACAGTGGCTAATAGTGTTGTTTGATCTTTATATTTTTATTATGCATTTCATTTTTTTGTTGTTGGATCAAGTGGGCTCTTGGACAACAGAAGGTGGTGGTGGAGGAGGATTGATGGGATGTGGAGGGATTTGATATCCATTTTTTTATTATTATTATTTTTTCTATCCCCTTTCTCCATCCCCCTGGCTCAAGAATCTCATCAGAACTGAGAGGAACATGGTTCCTCTGGTCTTTTTCAGATGATTCAGGGTGGGAGCCTTTGCTTTATTTCCTGGAACCTGAAGGGCACCAACCATCCTATTAAACATAATAAGGTGATGACTCATTTGAAGCAAATCAAAAAAAGAAACTCATCTCTGTTCCTCAGACGTCAACCGGATCAAGTGACCCTGGATAGGGCAATGCATCACTCTAAATTTCCAGTAAGAGCAAGAGGTCCAACCACCCTCATAAGCAAAGGTGTTTCATTTGAACTATTAAACTCTGTTGAAGATCCTCGTGGTAGATTTGTGATAATCTCAGATAGGCTATGTGGCATTCCGGTGACAATGGCATGTGTTTATGCACCCACATGGGATGATGATGAATTAAATCTCAAATATTTTTCTCTTCTCTTCCTAAAGGCGATGATCACTTAGTTAGATTTATTTGACCCATGGTGAGCTAAACCCCCTTTAGACAAAGCTCTATCTGTTTTTCCCACATCTTTCACTCATTCTCTCAGATTGTTTTGTGTTCTGCTGGATAATTGTCTTTCTACAGGAGTTCACTCGCATTGTTATCTCAGACCACACCCCTGTATCTGTAGAAATTAGCTTCCCGATGTGGGCCCCACCTTCTAGACATTGGAGATTTAACTTTTCTCAACTCATCTCTATTAGCTCAAAAATATGTTGAAGAATTTCTCCAGATGCAGATCTCTTTTGCTACTAATGATTCCCTTTAGATCTAGACACACTATATGGGAAGCCTCCTGGGATCGAGTTGGGAACCAAACTACCAGGTGAATATTGGCAACAAGTTTTGCGACTGGTCCACTCATCCTCAATCTGTGCAAGGCACATCCTCTTACAACTTAAAGTTGTACAGAGTTCTTTATATTAATCTGAGGCTGTTCAGGTTCTACTCTAATGTAACCAGTTTATGTTACAGGTGTAGACAATCCATAGCCAATCATTCTCACACGTTTTAGTTCTGCCCCAAGCTTGCCACTTTCTTGTCAGAAATATTTTCTAATCTTAATACAGCATACAACACAATTATCACTCCTGAACTGCTTTTGGCCAGATTTGATGTCCCTCTACAGCTTACTAACTCCAGGATCAAGCAGACTGTTCTTGCTTTCACCACCCTGTTGGCAAAATGTCTCATACTGTTAAAATGAAAAAAAATCTCATCCTTCATTGCACAGCAGGTGGGTGAAGGAGTTGTTGCTGTCCATCAGACTGGAGAAGCTTAGATTCTCCATTAGTGGCTCCCTGGACTTGTTTGAGAGTATCTGAGGGCCTCTTCTGAGTCATATTATTTAAAGTCTGTTTGGTTGTGATGACTGAAACCCCCCATCCCCTGTGTTATTTTATTTATTTTTTTGTTTATTTGTTCCTTTTGGTGGGCAGCACGGTGGCGCAACTGGTAGAGCTGCTGCCTCTCAGCGAGCAGGTCCTTGGTTCAAACCCCGGTCCAGGGGCCTTCTGGGTGGAGTTTGCATGTTCTCTTCGTGCATGCGTGGGTTTTCTCCGGGTACTCCGGTTTCCTCCCACAGACCAAAAACATGCATGTTAGGCTAATTGGTAACTCTAAATTGTCCCTAGGTGTGAGTGAGAGAGTGAATAGTTGTTTGTCTCATTTGTCTCTATGTGGCCCGGTGATGGACTTGCGACCCGTCCAGGGTGTACTCCGCCCCTCGCACAGTGATTGCTGGACATGGGCACCAGCGACCCCCGTGACCCAAAATGGAATAAGCGGGTAAAGAAAAAGGATGGATGGATGGATGGATGTTCTTTTTGGTTTGCTTTTTACACAAAGGTTCTTATTTTATTTCAATTTTTCAATACTTTCAATATTTGCTGCTACTCTACATGTTTACATATTAATGGATGTGCAATGGTAATCACTCCCCTCTGGATGTGCAGGATCATGGGAGGGATAAAAGAAGGGAAACTCTGCTGGTCGAACTGGGATGGAAAAGGGGTTAAAAGGGAAAAAAAATAAAATAATGCAAGTTTTATGTGTTTTATTGCATTGTTGAAATAGCATCTGTAAATTTACTTCCAAAAAGTTTTATTTTTTTATTTTTTTTATCCAATAAAAATATGACATTTATTAGAACAAACAGACTACTTCACTGCTTCAGACCATTGTCTTAGTTATGGTCCAGTGACCCAGATTCATAAATTTATGGGCCCACATCTCATTAAGCTCTAACCTGCACTAAGAAGCCATACTCCAGTGTGGGGATGTTCTTGCAGTGGCCGCCCGCCTGGGATGAGAAAAACAATTCAATCAGCTGCCTCGTGGTAATCTGCGCTGGGGCCCTGGCCGCCGGGACAGCCACAGTCTGATGAGTCAAGTGAAGACAAAGCATTATGGGAAAGGGTGCACCAGCCATCTTTCAGTGAGGATGGGGAAAGGCTCAGGTGAAATATTATAAGATGGCAGGTGAGACAAGGGTTCAAAGTGGCTCACAGTGGAATGTGTATATATATATATATATATATATATATATATATATATATATATATATATATATATATATATATCAAACACAGCCGTATGAAGTTTACATCATCACATACATATTAGAACTGTGAAGGTATGAGGCTCTGAGATGTGAACTCAAAACTTCATTGTATATGATCACATAAGGACTCGTCAGTGAAATACATCAAATACAAATAAGTGCAATGTACACAAACGGTTGTTTGTGTACATGAAGTAAACGTCAAACCAAATTTCATTCAGTATTTGGGAGCTGACTGGTTCTGACCTGGCTGTTTGGTGGATAGCTGAAGAGCTCTCCTTTAGGGTTCTTCATTGTACATGAGATGGAGCGGTTCATCAGGCGGGTCACTCTCAGCTCAGGAACACCAAGTTTCCCCTTTAAAGCTGTGTCTTGGATAAGAGGAAAACTTGGAGACCTGTAAAAAATTAAACGCACAGAACTCAACTATTTTGATGGGAAACAAATCTCATCGTCATCATAGTTCAAGTTGTGGAGAATGTGGAGGAGAGGTGTTGGTCGCAAAGCAGGGAGATTAAACCACATATTTGCTATTACTGTGTTTTTATTATAAAAATAAAATAAAATACATCTTTTTGGTATCATAGCTGGACAATTTTAAAGTTATTATCTATGCTCTTATTTCTCATGCTACGCTAGCATTAGACACTAGAAACAGAACAAAAATGCATTACGACAGTAGCTCTAGTCACTACCAGTTAAGAGTCCAAGAAACCAGTGCTCACTTCCACCATTACTTCCAGTACACTTTCCATGAAGCCAGTCGACATAAAACTCCTGACAAGTCATTAGGATGTAAAAATAACCTTGTTAGTATAGCTGACCACCATCAAGAAGGCCAGGATTCAGTCCCTGTACACTCATAACTGTCAAAGCATCCAAGAATAAGACAGAGGCTGGGCAGTCTTCCTCTCCCTTGGGAACTTTTGTCAGGCTTTGAGTTTAAGTCAGCCAGCCAGCTGTGTGCTGTGTCAGAGCTTCCTTCTCACTGTTGCCTTTTTCTGCAGTTTACCATTTCCCCCCAAGCTTTTGCAAGGAATTTACATTTCCATCCTATTATTACTAGGCACATTTCTTGCTGCTATTGTAAGACTTTACATGTAAACAAAAATGTCACAATTTTTACTTGCTCAAAACGTGTTATTTGTAATTAAAAATACTGATTGTTTTCCTATCCTAAAAACATTTTGTGGTTAAGACTTTTGAATGCAGGTCTGATACTAAGGGGGCCCTTAGCAAGATCTATACACTGCTCGGTTCATACCATGACAGTTTGGACTCTCTTAAACTGAAATGAGAAACAGACATGGAAAAATCCATATTGGACTCAATTTGGCATAAGATCATTCAGAACATTTGTTTATCCTCAATCTGTCTGAGGCATGCTGTAATTCAATTCAAAGTAGTGCATCGGCCTCACTGGTCTTAAAGCAAGCTGTCCAAGATCAAAGCCAACCTGGACCCCGCACGTAATCATTAACAAACTCCAGCTACACTCTTGCATACATTCTGGACCTCTCCCAAACTGCAGACCTTTGGCAATCTTTTTTTGACACCTTCACTGGGATATGTGGGAAAACTGTACACCTATCACCACTCATCTTACTGTTTGGGGTGGTCTCTGTGGATATGTCCTTAAGCAAGAACGAGAAGGATGCAATTTATTTTGGCTCTCTTCTGGCCAGACGTGTTTTGTGCAGTTGGAAGGACCCACACACTCCAGCATATGTACACTGGATAAGAGAGGTGATGTATCATATTAATCTAGAAAAAAATCGGACATACCCTGAAGGGTTCTGTCAAAAGATTTTAGGACACTTGGCAGCCCTTTGTGTTGTATGTAGAAAACATGTCAATGCCTGTTTAATTCATTTTTGTGTGTGTGACTAATCCGGTGTGGGAGGGGGGGTATTTGTTTTAATTTTTTTTCTGTATGTTCAAAAAACAAAGATCAATAAAAGCTTTGATTTAAAAAAAATACCAGCTATAGGTAAAGGTAACTATAGGATTTATATTTAATACTTGCAAGGAGTGAAGAAAGTAGATGTATATTAGCATTGGGCAGCTGTGGCTGAGTGGTTAGAGCAGTTGTCCTCCAATGCAAGAGTTGGGAATTCAATTCCACCAGCAGTCACATGCCAAAGTGTCCCTGGGCAAGACACTGAACCCCTCATTGCCTCTGATGTGTGTCCCATTTAATTTTGACCATATAAATGATCTAAAATTAAGAAAAATCTGTCTGAAAAAGTAGTCACACAAGCATACAAGATTTGTATACGTACAACAAAACTACTTCTGTTAAATACCAATTTAATCACTTTATTTCTATTCAGTTCTACTTAAGTGTAGGTGTGTCTCCAATGAGAGTGTGTCCCTCACTCATTGGGTGGGATCGTCGACGAATTGTGAACCTCCTTCAGTTTCTTTGTTACGACTCACTTTGCCCATTGTGATCCTTTATCATCCGGTAGTCGGACTTCATTTTTTTTAATTTGTAAAACAATAATAATATTTTTTAAATTTGAGAGTGTAGCTGTGGGCGGCCAGTTTCTCCAACAACTCCCGGTAAACTCGCTTGTTCCTCATTGCTCAGTCGAGCTCATGTTGTATACACTCATCTGACAAAATTGATAAAAAGGTTTGCACCTGATCATTCGACAACAGAATAACCTGTGATTACAGCTCTCCATTTCAGCAACGTACACATACACTCAACGATCTGACTGAAAATGGCGCTTCTGGAGGAGTTTGCCAGTACTGCCTTGGCTCATACAATGACGTCAACCCACGGGCCAATCACCTGCTGCAGTTTGCTAACATCAAAACTGCTTGCTCAGCTCGGCTTGCTTGGAACCACAGCTGAGACCGTTCCAAAAACGAACAGGTAATGAGATGCATTTGGTCAATATTAACAAAACTTTGATACAGAACCACACTTCAAAGGATCTGAACTATTGCTCTAATAGACCTGCAGAGAGGAAGAAAGACCTACTTGGGAATGGGGGAAAAGATGCTGAGCCCAGCGCGGAACTTCTTAATGGTTCCTCCAGCTTTGAACCAGCTATGCCTTTTTTCCTGCTGGGCCTTGAGGAACTCATTGCTGAGGTGTTTCCACTGCTGGGAGGTGAATGTGCTCAGGATCCTGCCACATTACAAAACAATCTGTGTTGAGTTACACCTTCAGCTGAAAAGCATTTTAAAAAATAGATGTTGCACAAAAGTCAATAGTTAATAGTCATCTGTTCACCTACTTTTTTAGTTGCAGGCCTAGACTAAATCCCTCTTTACTTGAAGGCTGGAAAACTTCTACTGATGGCTCTGAATAAATAAAGATGACTAACATTATTACACAATAGACAAAAACACACATTTTTTTCCCCCCTTTCCCTTGTGTACACCACATGTACTCGCCTCCCACTCTCGATGAGTGTCACAAATACATTCCTCATAAAAAAAAAACAACATCCACACTGACATCTTTACTCACCAGGTCCGTCGAGGTACTGAGAAAGGGAAAAGCGCAATCGCAGGATAATGGGCTCCGTTCGGATAACTTTCCATGCTGTTGCAACCTCCTCCTGAGTCATACACACACACATGCACAAACGCACAGATTTAGCAGCCTAATTAGGGCTATTTCTCATTGCATAAATAACTTGTGAGCACCCGATGCATTATAAATGATGTGTTACTTTGCAAAATGTCAGCATTAGAATAGTAATGGGCAAAGTCAGAGGCGGTGTTTGAAGTGCACAGAGAATGCTGACTCACGTCTAAGAAGCCGATGTTAATATGAAGATCGATGTCCACATCATCGATGGTTCCGTACTCCCTGTATGGAGACACGGCAACAAATGTGGGCAATGTCACACTCCAATCATTTTTACTCATTAAACTCAGATAAATTACGCTTGTTTTTGTTTAACATTTGACAGGCAGTGCAGATTTTCTTGCCACTACTTAGTTATTTAACAAGAAACATGTTCCCAATAGCATGAGTGAGTGTGTCGTCTACCTGACAGAGATAGCACTGTCAGTGTAGATGTCTTTCACAGCCTCTATGTCTGCATCTAGCTGAGGGTGGCGGTACAGGTCAGCGGCACAACTCCCCTGCAACAAGCAGCACTGGTCACAGTTATAGCAGCGAATGAATTCTCAATGGTTTCAGCACTGTTTGTCCACACATATCCCACACACTACAAAGCACCAGCACCACAGAAACTATATACACATCACTACTTTGCATAATTTTTTAAAAATAAAATACATTTTGCTAAGATGTTCTCAGAATAGTTTGCATCACATCTTCCACAGCTTAATTAACCAAAGCCAACAGATTTTCCATCCATGTGCCTGGCTTCTTGAGGGTGTACTACGTATCCCTGACTCCCATCCTTATCTTTCCTGCATGGTTTTCATGTGTTCTGACTTTGCCTAAAATGAGCTTTACCTGATTTACATTTCAATCAGAACACTTAAAAGATAGCGATAAGGAAAAAATGATAACAAATTTAAATTTTAGGTGGAATCAAAGCAATCAACTTCATGAAATAAGACAAAGCTGCATGTTGGCTGTGGAAATTAATTTGCTTGAGACTTCATTACAAATTGAAGTCAACAATAAACAGTGATGTAATTTTTGGAGCATCACTTATTTCTAGAACATTCAACATATCTTAGTGCAAAAACACATGTATTAGCTTTCTGTGCACGCTTTCAAACCTTCAAATAAATTACTCCTTGCGTCTTATTAAATATGACATTTTCAGCTTCACATATATGAAAATATTTGCTCTGCTCATTGGAGCATTAGGATGGAAATGTCAGTCAGAGAGCCCATCTGTTCTGCACCACCTGAGAAATTATCTAATCAGCTATTTAGCATGTTGACATGACATTTGTGCTAACTATTCAAAAGGTTAATAACTACACCTGACCAATATTCAGTTTTTTGATAAAGAATTAAAAATTGGCGGCTGCTTCCCTGCAAATGCATTAGTGGTCATTATGTGTGTTTTATCAAATAATGGATAAAGTTGCTGGTAAATGTTCCTTCAGTGCAAGTTAAATTATCTAACAACAAAATGTGTTGCACAAAATAATGATGCAAATGGCAGAATGTAGCTAAATTGAAGAAATTATCATACCGGGCCTTAGTAATTTATTTAGACGATGTTGTTTTTTTTGTTTTTTTTTAATGGTATAATAGTGTCAGCCTTTGAATTACATTTTTGTGTGAATGTTTATGAAGCATTCACACAATTGTGATTCATTTTTCTTCCATACATTTTTCAGCATCTTTCTCACTCCACAATTGCTATGCTATTTCAACAAATCATATATCAAAACGTTCAGCTTGTTCAGATGCTATGACTTTTGGTATTGGTGCAACTTTAGCTTTTTAAAATATATAGCCTTTTCTGCCATTTTTTTCTCATAGAAAATGAACTGAGCTCATTTTCCATCCTTCAAATCTTTAGATGTGTTTACAACCTTTTACTGCTCCTTTCACATTTTGTTCTGGTTCAGATTCTTTCAGCTTCCTTGTGCAAATTTAAACCTTTTTTCAGCTACTTTCAGCTGTTTTTCAGCTGTTTTGTGAACCTTTTAGATTGTGTCTGCTAACTATGACATTTTTGTGATTCTTAGAACTTCTTTCTGCTAATTTCAGCTTTTTATGTGTTTCAATTTTTTCTGTTAATTGCACATTTTTTTGCTCTCATTTCAACTTTTTTTCAGCCTAATTCTGAAAAAAAGTGCTCTCTCCACTTGCTTCTGGTAATTTCAGCTCCTTTCTGCTTTTTTAGCTACGTTTCAGCTTTTTTTTTTACTTTCAGCTTTTTTTTTTCTCAGATAATTTCCACTTTCTGGTGCTCATGCATGTTAAGCCTAATTGGGCAAGCATTTGTTTTTTTTCTGATTTCTTCTGCTAATTTAAGCTTGTTCTAACTTTTCAGCTACCTTGTTAGCATTTTAAGTAAATCTCAGCTGTTTCCAGATAAATTCAAACTTTACATGTTAATTTCTGCTATTTTCAGCCTAAATAACTTTTTATGCTAATTTCAGCTTGTTATGCTCCTTTCAGCTATTTTTGCACTTTCAGCTACGACTGTATTTTGATGCTAATGTTTGCTAATTTCCTAAATTTTGTGTTCATTTCTGCTAATTAAATATAATTCAGCAAATATTTGTTCTTTCTGCTTTCTTCTGCTACTTTAGGCTCATTTGGGGTTGTTTTTTTGTTTTTTTTTCAGCTACATTTCAGCATGTTTTTAGCTAATTTCACCGATTCTTTTAGCAAGTTCTTCTGAAATAAGCATTCACACTGCATTTTTAAAGGCAATGCAATTTCTCTGGTTTACATGTTGATTTTAAAAAAAGAAAACCCATGCAACAAAAATATGCTTGTGACTAGTACCAATACAGAAAACAAAAGATTAATATCTTGACAAAACCACTTTCAGCAGAGAGGTAAGTGTGCCTTCTTTACCTGAATTCCATAAAGAAACTGTTCAGGTTCATTCTCTCCATCTGACTCCTCGTCTGTCCAACACTGTCCTTTGATGTCCTGTGAGCCCACGCAACGTAAAGACCATTGTAAGAGAACGGAAAGAAAATGCAACCTCCTTCTAACATCTTTTCATCTCACATTTCCCTATTTAGCGGTCCGTTCAAGTCCTTCAAATCATCGCTTTACATAGCATCTCTGATTTGTTTCCAAAGGACAGAAAATTCACTGAATAATATATAAAAAATAATAATTAAAACTGTGACTGAAAAGGGTGAATTGTACATATAAAAACAGACGTGATTTTTAAGGAAAGCATAATGACCAAAAAATGAAAATGAACAAACATTTGTCTTAAAAGTTAAGCTGTAAAAACGATGAAATGCCTCTGTGATACTCTATGCAGCACCTCAACACTATTTAATCTACTGTGCAATTTTCTAAATCTTAAACAAAGCAGTGACTTTGTGACAAAGGATCCCGGCTGTCTTACCATTGGATCTGCTGTTCATAGGGCTCTGTCAGACAGGTGTGGGCCTTTGATTACTGCCAACCATCGCAGCCTATCTCCAGGTGAAAAGAACGAGAACAGACAACCGCAGTGCTTTGTCTGACCACCTGTTTTTCTTTCACTCCTCGGAGTTACACGGCCTTTTTGGGGGGGAAGAGCATGATCAAAATAATAAAAGTTCAGCTGAGGAAGAAAGCATGAAACAAAGAGGTTATTGCTAGTGATGCCATGCTCTGTCGGTGGTGCCCTCCTCCTTTTCTTTTGTTTAAATCGCCTGCACTTCACCTTGCCGTGTATCCTAGCAACAGCCGTCTCTGCCTCCTCTCAGAGTGGCATTAATCACTGTGGAGAAAATGTGTGGGAGATATGTGCGGTACGTTCAGTGCCCAGGATGTCTTAACTTCTTTGTTTAGATTTTTTTTTTCTCTTCAGGAACCCATTCTAATAATATGAATACAGTGTGTCAGCACACTATCCGATTGCATAAATGCTATAGCTGATAAATAGATACATAAAAAAAAACCATTTATGTCACATAATTCTCAAAGATAACACCAGAAGACCACACCGTGTCAACAAGGGTGTTATATAAATGAACTACAGCTACAAATATCAACTGAATATAAGGTCTATGTTTCTGTTTATTTAACTGGAAACCTGAAACTGCATCACTGCCATGTAAAGAGAAAGTTAGCTCTTCTTTGTTAAGAAACTTCATCTGTAAAACATGTAAACAATCACTTTGGTGTCATAATCTTCTGCCAATCTGCAATAACATATCATCAGCATGGCAGCAAAACAATACATATCACAGTTACTTTTGTGCACAATAAAACTAAAGATTTACAACAATAAGATAAATACTGAATGGCACTGCAAGACAAAATGTTTATATGCCAAATACAATCATGCATTAGAACGTACTGCTGTATATGACTTCTTGACTTTTGCACAGTAAGACTGTTTTCTGCTGATGCCAAACATTTGTTTTCCCCATTGGGGCTCAATAAAGAGTCTATCTGCGAAGGCATTTATGGCACATTTAGGTCAATAATTAAAAAATAAAATAAAAGGGCTAATCCGTCTCTTTCTCTAAAGGCACAGAGCTGTTTACATGGCTGCTCATCAAACTGCTCCTGGTTGTGATCATTCCTGTCTCCTTCTTAATAGTGTGCACTGTTCTGATGCCATTTATTTCTTTTTATATATATATATAAAATAACTCTTCTTGACAAAAAACTGCATTCTAGTTAACAGCCCCCCCCCCCCCCCCCCCCCCCCCCCCCCCCCCCCCCCCC